AATAATTAATTTATAATTAAGGGACTTATTGTCGGGATCCAATGGTATTTTTAAATATTTATAACTTTTTGCTCGAAAAGTCAATGTTTTCTTTAAGAATTATAAATATTTTTACGATTGTTTTACAATCATTAAGACTTATCTTAAAAATATTATAATAGAACACGTTACGAAACACGGTCTACAATTGAAGAATTATTTAGCTATTTTGTATTTTTACATCGATTTTTATTCATTGTTACTATACAACGTAATATAAATTTTAAGGCAACTAAAACTATCTTTTTAATTTGTTATCTTAAGATCAAAAAAAAAAAATTGCGTATTCGTGTATATCATCTTAATTTTTATTGTATACATTCATGCTATACATTTTCAATACTTTTTTATTTTTTCATTTTTCTCAAAAAATACGTGTGCCCTTATTTCGTTATTTTGAAGCTCATTAAATTCCTGTAGCCCGGATCATAAAGGTTCATATTGGAGCGGGTATAAATAGAGGTGGTTGAGCGCATTTGTACGACTCGGCCGTCGTCGTCGACGTCGCACCGAGTTACGCGATAGTGTAACGGGGGAGACGTGACGACGACGTACCGTCGCGAATACATAAAGCGATAAATACCCGAAATAAACACCGAGGAAGGGCACGTGGGGGTAGCAGGACGACGAGGGAGTGAAAGAATGAGTGTACATGTATACGCGGCGGCGGTGGCGCGTGCGACGGAGGTATAAAAGTGTGCCGAACTACTCTGCGCGTAAAGGGTGGCGCGAGCGACGACTGCCCTACTCGAAGAATTTTTATTACGACTTTAAACACCGTCAACGGGTCGGTGGCGTTTAATCTATTAACTTCAATATACGATGGACGCAGAAGGATACAGATGAGGTGCACAGAGGGGTCGAGAGTCAGAAAGAAACAGTGAAGGGATGAGAGATGGAGAAAGAGAGAGAAAGTTTGAAAGAGGTATGAAGGAAAGGGGACGGGAGGAAACGTCGTCCTTTATTCTGTAGCGCCACATCACATCAAAGCCAGGCACCCTCTCCATTTTTGTAATAAAAAAAAGTTAGTCTTCGCCACCCCCACTCGACGTGCCGCTTCGATGTACTGTATATAATATTATTATATGAGTACGTCTCCGATATTGGCTCGCACTTGTGTGCTCAGTACCGCAGAAAACCCTTTTTTCCTTTACAACATCCCATTTTATAAACGCGTATATAGTATAACAACGGCGAGCAACCCTCTGCGCGATAATCACCTGCACCGGATTTTTTTTCCTCTTTTATTCCTTTTCTACAATAAGACTAAACACGCGCACGTCGACGATGAAAGAAAAAAACGAGTAGTATTATGTTTAATATAGTTTAAATTAAAAATAAACGCATTGTTTGTTTAGAAAAATTAAAAATACTATTTTAACATACTAACTACAAAATATACACAACAAGAAATAATAATACCTGTTACATATATTATATATACAAACAAATCAATTCAAATGTAACAAATGAATAGAACGTAAGGTGTGATGTATATAAGAGTATGTAAATATTTATAATTCATTGGAATAAAATGAACACAAGATCGAAAAAAAATTGGCAAAGTTAAAGGAAATTATAAGCAACGAAACTTAAAACTTGTTAAATACGTTTCACAACAGCAAGTGTATTAAGCACACAGTTGCACGAGATTTGGATTTTGAGTAGGTCTTCGGTTCCTCTCAAGCATTGTACTGATCCTACGGTCACCTCTGAGTGTCAGAGGGGTCTTCCGGTTCCTTTTGAGCGTTGAAGGGTCCTTCGGTTACTCTTAGGTGTCGAACGGATTCCCGGTTGCTTTTGATGGCCATCAGGATAGTGGCTTTTAATGTACACCAATCTAGGTGATCGCGCTAGGTGGTTACCGTTGAACTATTTACCGTATCCGTACGGCATATACCGTACGTTACGTCTGATGCGTACCGAGCTGATGCAACCCTTGTTACCACTGCCGCTACCACCACTGCTCCTAGCGCATCTTGTATCTTCCGGTCTTGACAGGTGACCACCTCGGAGTTTCACGAGTGACTTGGCATCATCTTCGAAAGGGCCTCATACGCCGCATATTGCTTCTCTGGCGTCGGGTTGCTCTTTAGCAATATTTCTGTCGAAAGCAGACTGGTCGGGCAACAGACGGACGTACAGGTCGCAAGTGTATGACCACGGATATTTGATGGTGTGCAGTGCTCGCGAATAGCATCGAAAAACGCCTGCCGTAGACGGGCCACGAGCCACCTTGAATCGTCGCCGTTCACGTGCTCCTAGAGCATTACCTTGTTGCGGCTGTGTGCGAAGCACCTCTCGAATCCTGACTGTACAGCCGGCACCACTTCACCTGCGCCCAAAGCTGCAGTCACTTTGACAGCAGGACGAATGCCGCGTTCGTCCCACGGCGTTGGGATGTTTTTTAAGCATTTCATTTGTAAAAAAAATAAAATATACCGCTAGTTATAGCATTACATTTCGCAGCAAACCGTGGCGAAGGGGTGTTTAACACGCACCCTGACATCATGGTTGTAAGACTTGTGAACTACTAATATTATTCTACCAACTGTTGAGCTACACATTATATTTACATTAAGTTATAATGCCTACAAGTGGGAGTGAAAGTAAGCGATTTATGTTTAAGGGAAGTTTCTTTTATTTATTTTTTATTTATAAAGTTTTCCTGACTTAGTCATCTAAACTTATATGTAAAATATTTAATTTTTAACATTTTGTAAATTGGAGCACAGTAATGGTATATGTGATTATAACTATGGATTAAAAATAGAAGAAAAGTTATAATAATACAGAAGAGTAGCAGTTTTTACATGATGAAACAATTTAATAGCTTAACAAAATTGTATACAAAATAAACATATATAATATATATATATTATATATAATAGAAATTGTTAATGATTTAAGATTTCGTTAAGGCCATGTGGCTAAAAATTGTACTCCAACTATCTAACGTGGTTTAAAAGTGCAAACAGATGAATCGTCTTGATCTTACTTTAATCGGTCAAATGTTGAGTACTGACATTCTTCTTCTGGGTGTGTGATATGTGATTTATGAGCGAATATTTGGTCATATCTTTAGACAAATTCATAGGTAAAGGGAATTTTGAGGTTCGATCCAGGGTCAAAATCTCAACTAATAAATAAATTGATAATCATAAATATAAATCCCCTAACCCCATGAATAATCTTTACCTACGTTTTATCTCAAAGGGATTTTAGGATTAAAATGCGCTTGAAATTATAAAACTACATGATATATATATACCTATCAGAGAGACTTCGTTTCATTGTCTTACGAATGAGTTCTAAGGAAGGGAGGGGGACAAATTCTCTTCATCTATCCACCTATGATAAACTTAAATCATAGGTCGGTTAAAAACTAAAATATTCAATATTGTTAAGTATATTACTGTGTGTAAGTATGCTGTAGCCACTAAAAGCGTTGTTTCAGAGGAAAATTTGAACAAAAATGTTGAACGAAACCAATTCGTTTCAAGCATGTTACAAGTGCCTAATGCGTTCATTTTGAGTGGAATAGGTTCTCTGGAACCAGTGCTGTAACTAGATTACTCGAGACATGTGTGCAAATCAATATTTTAAAGCACTTTATCATATGCATTTTTTATTAGCAATAAAAGTTTTTTATTTAGAGGGAAGGGGTGGTAACTTGAAGTTTAAATAAAGTAAAGTTTATTGTTGTAATAAATAATTTTTTCTTAAAACTGTTATATCAGAAACTAGAAGAATAAAAAAGAAATCAATAGAACTTTTATTTTATTATACATATATATATTGATAACACTTAATGTGTGTTATGTGGCAAAAACTACCGGTCAACTTCCGTATATCATCATTAATATTATATTCCTAACAGACAAAGAACATAAATAAATATTATATTTTAACAGAACTAGCACACATGATTTTTGGTTTATAGTTTTTATTATTTTTACAATTTTAGCTACGTTGATGATGGTGGTGACAATAAAAAATAATAAAAATAAATTCAGGGATAATAATTTCTTTTGTACTAATTATTATTATTATTGAAACTAATAGCAACCATATATAAACAAAAATTTCCATAGTAAATCTCAAAATGTCTGTTTGAGCACCTCTAGGGGTTGGTCTTTTCACTTTTTAACTTAGCCTATCTCCTACACATATGTCTAATATATCTCTGTACTAAATTTCGTCGCGATTGATCCAGCCGCTTAGGAATGCATAAAGGACAAACAGACAGAAATCCATGTTTAAATATATATATATATATAGGTAATATTAACTTGTACTAATATAATAAAATCAATGGTACAATATGTACCTATCTATGTTAAAACATGATATCCGAAAAATGCCACGAGATATTCATGTTATTAAATCTGAATTTTCGATCTCATTGATTTATCCTATGGTAAGGATGATTCCCGCATACTTTTTTATCCGGCCTATACTATATACCTATTCAAAAAATTTGTTCGTAAAATGTTACCTAAAATATTCTTATCTAGCTTAATTATTAAACGCTTTAGTATAATATACATTATATAATAATTTACATCGTAAAATTAAATTATTTAAAATAAATTTGTCAATTGTCAATTTTTATGACATTTTTTTTTTTTAATATTTTTATTTCTGGCTAAGGATTATTTTTTAAATACCTATTTATACTTATCTTTAGACTATCAAAGCTAATGAGTGGTTTTATTGATCAGACATTATTACATTGTTATTATATATAAATTCTACATAACGTAGTAATAATAAAACAAATACTTAGGTACCTATATAAATGATGGTTTCTTTATTTAAGAAAATTAATTATAACAAATCCTTAGTTTAATTTCACTAAATACAATACATTTACAAAATTAATTTACATTTTAACTAAATAATAAAATAAAATATATAAATATCTAGATTAATTTATAAGTATAGTTTAATTATATTAAAATATGGTTAAAACATATTATTTGATTAAAACAGTTTAAAAAACAAATTATAATCTTAACAACAGTCTCATTGGATCAACAAATACTATTATTATGTAGTTTAATTCTTTTTGAACTATTTAAAGCTGGCATACTATAATTTGAACATATTTTAGTTCTTATTTGTTTTTCGATCATCTTCTTATGGAGAAAAATCATTAAATTAGTGTTTTCCAAACAAACAAAAGATTTCACTAAACCGTTTAATATTAAGGTCCTTTTAGGATTTTCATTTTCTACAATAATTTCATTTCTTGAATCGACTGTAAATTCATGAACCGAAATACCAGCAATAACCCATAACTGATTACTAAATGCACCTAAACTTGCAACATTTTCTTTAAATGTAATTGTTTTAATATCTTTAAGTCTTTGTTTGCTTCCATTTTCCTCAATTTTAATGAAATGCACTTCTTTGGAGTCGTATAGCTGAGCTGCAAAAATATCTTCAATGCGAACTAGGCTTTGGATAGGAGTATGAAGAGATAATTTATCTTGGAGATAGCCATCTTGAACATTCCACAAACGCAATGTTTGGTCACCAGAGCCAGATAGAATTAAATTATTCATTATGCAAATTCCACTGACGTACGCTTCATGTCCCATCATGTAGTATAAAATATTTTTGCCATTTGGGTAATGTGATATGCGCACTTTTTCATCACTGTCACAAGTACCGATATACTTTTCATCGCTAGTAAAACTAATGTCGAGAATCATAGAAGAATGCCCGAGAACGCAGACGGGAAATTTATCAAATGCATAGACATCACCTTTTTTATCGCCGACGACAATAACATTAGTTTTGGGTGTGAAAACTATATTCGTCGCATGTTTTGCCAGTGTTTTGTTTTCGACCAATGACCAGTCTGCGGTGTTCCAGATGCTCAGAAGTTTACCTTTGTTTGTGTTATACGCGAACAATTTACCATCGTCTGAAAAAGCTGCACATGTTTTTTGTAAGTCACGATCGTTGATCGGCATGTTATTGTACGATTCACCCAGGCTTTCAGTAAGATTGATCACATTTCCACTGTCTAACGAATATACGAAACACCGGTCAACGCTTATACAAGTCACAACTACAGCAGTTTCACTAACAGCTATGCAACAAGTCATATTTATATTATTTAGTAGCGATTGAACGAATAGGAAAAGACAAACGAATAATTCACGAAAAATAAATAGTAAATGGTTTCACAATTCAAATCACGTAAAATATTAACATTGAAATATATGAAGTATAGGAAGTTTAATTTCAAAAAAATGTAGAAATCAAATAAAATATTTTAAGAGCCATAACCAACAAACTGTTATTATTCTTATTCTTATAAAATCGAGTTCTCATAAGATCGATATTTGTAAGAGGTTACTCGACATAGTATACACATGAAATATAGCTAATTCATGCAGTATATTTTACTTAAGGAAGCATGTAGTATTTAAAATTTTATTTTGATATTACATGAATGTAAATTAGCATAGAAATTCATCGAAAAGAGAATTTTAACTAACAATCGTAAACTAAAACCATCGATACTACGAATAAATTGTATAAGATAAACCGCAATCGTTATCAATATTGTTTAAACAATGTAACTGATAAGGGAAAATGTTTACATCACATTACCAAGTCCGAGATGAGCTGCGGCTATGAACGCGTGTGTGTCTGCTGTCAGAGAACACGCATGATGATTTGAATGAAGTACATTAAGAATCAATTAACCAGAATTTGATATATCTTCTTACAATGTCCGATTCGCCAAGACCTAAGGGATTGAATACGAGTGTTGGAACGTCATCACCTGCACGTGGTATTAATGTATCCATTTATGTAATATTATTTATGTAATTTAAAAAAGTTTTTCAGAAGTCGACGTTTACGCTGGTCGACCTGCTCAAGGGCATAGTGGAAATTTAACTGGCAATCGTCGTATATTGAAGGATACGGCTGCAGATATATTCAATCGTATGCAACAATGGAAAGTCTATCAAGACCAAGGGAGTGTAGTGATCTCCAATATATTTAATTTGCGAATGGACATGTATGTACGATAAAATTAGGACTGGTTGGTTTAATAATCAAAAACTAATAACACTAAAATTAGTGTTAAAAATCTGATAGGATTAATTAATATTTTAATAGTTGAGATTTGTAAATAATATTATTATTGATTTTCAGTTTAATTCATAACAGGTGTTTAGTTTTTACATGTAGCAAGTAAATATTTTTTAATTCAATATATTTCTAGGCCAAATGTGAAGTTTCCTGATGAACTGAGTAGTTTAGTAAGCGAACTTAAAAAATTGGGTGAAAAAATGGTAAATTATTTAATAAATATAAATAAATAAAAATTTAGATAGTTTTTGATTGAATTTTTAGTTATATATTGTCGAAGGACTGCAAGCTAAACTAAAAAATCTTATAGCAGTTGCAGCTTTAGAAAAAGATAACACTACTCCACTTTTTATTTCATGGACAACAGAACATTTTTGTAAGATTCATATTACAAATTTTATTTGGATCTAGATTCTTATATTAACAAATTTTCTACAGGTAAAATAATAAAAATAGTTTTAAAAGCGTATCAAAAAGAGCAAAAACTTCATCAAAGTTTATTACTGAGAATAGCTGACAGCATGGATCCAGATGTGCTTTTATTTTATCTTTCATGTTGGACGTTTCAGCCATACTTAGATCATAGTATAGAGAAACAGTTACATTGTATGATTAAAGAGACTAGACACGTTTAAGTTAATTAACTATACATTTTATAAAAATTTAATTGTAAAGAATTTTAAAGAGAATATAATATAAATATAATTTAAATTTATAACACTGGTTTACAAATCAAAAATACTAGGAGTACTTTCCTGAGCGCATTTGCCTACAGATTGAATAAATTTAACAAAGCCAGTATCTTTTGGTTTTTCTAAACCTCTCAACAAACGGTTTTTCATAACAGCAACAAACTCTCTATTGCTAAGTTGGCCATCAACTAAAAAATAAAAAATAGTTATCAATAATATACATGTTTTAAAAACATATAGAATTTTAACTCACGGTTTTCATCAAATATTGTGAAAATAACATTGATCATATGATCATTTAAATCAACATGTGCTACAGTTTTTGCTACATGTTTTAAAGTGACTGTAAGAAAAAAAAACAATAATATATCAACAGTCACATTTATTTAATATAAATATTTGAGCAAACCTTGATCAATAGATGCTCCTGCGATATGATAAAAAGTAAGAGCTGTATCAACATCATTAATGTTATTTAAAAAGTGAAAAAAATTTAAGTAGTCTTCTTCACTTATGCCTTGGGTGTTTTCTTTAAATCTGCATAAAACAATTAAAATTGATAGGGTAAATCTTATCAATGGTATCATCATATTATCTGTTAATTGTAAGACATATTATTAAATTATCGATTTACTTTTAGGTTTCCTAAATTTGAAAAATTTGGTCAATATCAATATTAAGGATAATGACTAAGTAATTTAGAATTTTAACTAAGGTTAGGTTTATTTTTTCCTCTGTAAATATATTTACATAAAAACAAGAAAATACAAGTCCACAACTATGACTACATATCTATATGTATAAATGTGAAAATAGAATCTGTTACGCATGATTAATGAAACTACTCATCCGACTACTTTGATTTTTTTAAAATAAACTATGCGGAGCAGGTTTTAGATTTAATTTTAATTCTATTAGAGTAATTATTTAATACAGCTTGGTAAAAAAAAACATTCATCTGGGTTTTATGTTATAACTGTAGATTAGATCACTGCTGGGCAGCTAAAAAGTTTTTCATGCCAGCTAGAGAAACTTGCTGCCAGTCCTAAGCCTGGGGTAAAATGAAAAGGAAAACAACTATAAATATATAATTTTTTTTAAGTATTTATTTTCACGAATAAAGCTGGGTAATACACCTAGTTATATATATATATATATATGATACTTTATTTTTAAATAACAAAGGTTATTTCAAAATTATATTTTAGAACAATGTAAGAACAATGATTGGCTATTTTCAAAATTGAATCAGATTTTATGGCAAATAAACAATTTACTTATTTGCTAAAATATTTGATAAATTATAAGTAAATGATGTGTATTTTAATTTTAATATTTTTAAAAGCATTCTAAGTACATATATAACATGATATCTACTTACACTTTTTTCACTCTTTTAATAATGCGTGTTTTTTTTTTTGGTGGATAACCAGCATAAGCTAAAAGTAGATCAGTGAATTCAACTTCTGATATAGTACCATCTTCACTGGGTCCTTTCCGTAGAAACTAAATACAATAATTTTAAGAAAAATGTAGTCATTAAATATGTAATTTTTTTATTTACCTCTAAACCTAAAATTTCTGTTTGTAACTGTTGTTGAAAATCAAGGAACTTCTCAATTGTTAATTTTTCATTAAGATTCTCACCAAAAAAATATGTTGTTAATGCTGAATTGACTCCCTATAATTTTTACACAAGTAAAACATATGGAAAAAATGTTTACAAATATTTTTAAGTACCTTAAAGGTATTTCCAGTATTTGCATGGTCTCTATGACGACTTCCAATACTTGTCTGGTGTCTGATTAATGTAGCAACTTTTTCAAATTCTTCACAATCTACATCACCATCTCCATTTAAATCAAACATTCTAAATGCTATTTCAAAATGCCTTCTTGATGCTAAAAAATAATGTAAATGAAAACAGTTAACAATAATTTAAACTTAAAGAATACATACTTGATAACACGGTTAGTAAAAATATGTAATCTGAAAAAGTTATTAAACCAGAACTCCCAAGTTTGTAAAATATGCTATCTTCATTTAAAGCTAATTCTAATTTCATGTGTGTATTCTGTAAAATAAGGAAAAACTTCTTTATAACATAAAGTATCGTTTTCTTCTATCAAAAATTTAAACAAGTAATATTTCCTATAAGATAATATAACTCATATATATGAGTTTCTATAGTAGCTTCATACAATTATTTTTATTTTTCTATTCTATCTTTCCTTTGTTCTCTCATTATTATTAATAATTATTATTATATTGTTTTAAGTATATTATCAATAAGGGTGTTTTTTTTTTTGTTAAAAATAATCAATTTAAAATAATTACTTTTGGATCATATTTTTTATATTGATCAAGCCCAAGGCCATCAGGTTGTTTAATGCCAGGAGTCATAGAACGAAGGAAGTCATCAGGTGTCATAAATACTTCATGTGTTTCTTGTCCATTTGAGTGCATATGTGTTACTTGTAAGGTAGCAAAATACCTAAAAACTTTGTCTGGTGTAGAAAAATGACGTATTCTATTCTCATATTCTATAATCTGGGATAAGTGAACATTTTAAGATATTTTTAATTGATAATATAACTAAAAATAAATTCAATACCTTTCTATCGCGAAAGCCAACTTTTTGTTTTGGTTTTTTCTTTTTTTTGTCAACTGCTTCTTCTAGAGTTTCTAGTACTGGATTTTCATCATTAGTCTCAACATTACTGTCAGCATCCACAGGAGGAAAAACTACTTCTACAATACTATAAAAAAATGTATTATCAATTATAATGCATTTTAAATTATTATAAATGTATTAATATTAATTGTTTAAAATATATTGATAGTATGCCGCCACGCCAGTATACTTCATAATTTATAAATAATTACATAAATGAATATAATATAATGGAAAGTCATATAATTCAAAATCTGACCCTCATAATGTTAAAATACATTTTTACAAAGAGTATTAAATTAATATATAACCAGTTATAAATGTACTTACTGATCCCAATTAACAAACTGATAAATTATCAAGCCTATAAAAAATAGGAGGTAACATTTCTTAATAGGATGTTCAGGAGGATCTTTTCTATGACCAAAGTTCTTATATGTTCGTCGATGGTTGCATTTTTCAACAGGCAATACAGCTAACATATTATATGGTTCATATTTTTTTAATAAAATTGGCCTCATTTGTAATCCATAGCCAAGAATAGGCCGTAATTTTGTAAGAATCATATCTAAAATATATAAATTATATTAATTAGTTTGCAAAAAAAAAAAATTGTATGAAGAAAATATTCTATAATTTAAATATTTATAATTAAAATAATAATAGCTAAAGTAAAGAATCTACAAGAAATGAAAATGTTTGAAACTAGACTTAGAACTCAGACATTTCAATCACAATTATTAAGGATTTGTAAGTATTTTAATTCAATTTTATTTAAAAATATAATTTTAAACATTATTTTAAGTAAAACTAAACTAATTGAAAAGAGTAACTATTTATTTATATAACTAATTGATCAGTATTATAATAAAATGAATACTTGGAACATTATCTAATATTATTTTAATTACTATAAATATTTTTATATGAGTATATAAGACTGATATGTGTCATTCGATTTAATTATTTATTTTGAAAATTTTATATGAATTTCATTTTTAAACAATAGGTTTTAATGTTTTAGGTTTTGGGTGAAACAAAGAATTTATTGGTTTTATTTTGTGTATGAATATGATTTTGACAAGAAGGATCATCGTCAGGGCTAGGATTTGTATGCAATAAAAAATTGTAAAATATGCATTTTATTTACCAAAATATGTATTTAAATTTTTATAAGATAAACACAAAAATATTTATTTATTGAAATACATCAGTGGTTGACTGTTTGTTAAATTAATTGTTTGCTGAAATTAAATAAAATATAAAAAATATGCAAAAATATGCATTTAAATTTTTATAAGATAAACATAAAAATATTTATTTATTGAAATACATCAATGGTTGGCTGTTTGTTAAATTAATTGTTTGCTGAAATTAAATAAAATAAAATTTATCTTTGACAAAAAAACAAAGTTTTATACTTTAATCAGTGGAATTAAATACGAAATATTAATATTAGTATTAAATTATAAATATTAATTACGAAATATACTATAAAACATTTATTTTTCGCATTCTTTTAATCAAAATATGCAAAAACATGCAAATTAAAAATACCACCATTTACCTCATCATAATTTGATTCGTGGACATTACTGACAAAATCAATAATCAGAAGTCGCAAAAAAAAACATGCTGTTGCATACGAATCCTAGCCCTGATCATCACCAAATAAAAAGTAAAATATAGAAAATAAGTTCTAGTTAGCACTTAGAGCGGTAATTTAACGAATTTCTGAAGTTATTTTATTAATAATTGCAAAAAAACTGACGAAAAGTTACGGCAATATGTAGGGCGTAGCGTTTTCGACAAATTCGAATTTTTATTTTAACTTAAAAATAAAAATCGCACAAATTTGAAAATTTCACTGACATATTTAATCACCGTTCCTTAAAGATGATTATTAAAAATGTCGAAAAAATAATTTTGGTTTGATAAAAAATACGGAAAATGTAATATTAAATGTCTTACATATTACTGAACAAAACAAAAATTTGTATATATAAATATAAACTGATCCACATGACCCATACACTCAAAATCTTTATTCAAGAGCATTGGTACCTACATTGATTTCGAGTTTAAAAGATTAATTCAGCAATGTCTGTAACTCAGCCAAGCCGTGGAAATTCGCCTGACTTAAGAGTTACACTCTTATTTATATTACTTATTGAATAATAAGAGAGCATTTTTAATCGATAATAATTTCAAAATTACTCTGGCAATGAAAGTAATTGAAGTCATTAATTTCCTTGAAAATAACGAGATAAGATTCTCAATACAATAAAATAAGAACGTGTTGATAGTCAAATGAAATGAAATTATCTACTTAGAATGTCAAGATTATTAGTTTAGACAAACTTTATCATATTTTTATATATCTATGGTAATTAACTGAATACATTAGCTTTTTGCGGTTGAATGGCATATGACCAAGTCGATTATTATCATTTGACGCGTTATGTGTACAATTCTTAAATGCCAATAAGTTATTTAAAACGACACTTACGTACATAATGAGATTTACATTCAACTAGTATTTTTGATACAATTCTATAGACTAAGTCGGACAGTATTATTCGTAATGAGTCATTACGAATAATACTGTCCGAATGTAAATAAAAACTGTGGTGATGTAGTTGGTCAATGTTGAGTAAATTATTTATTACACATATTTTTTAATTACTACGATCCTTTCGTACGCATCGTACAAGGTACAGAGTTTAAGGCCGAGACAACGGATATTATGTTCGATATGTTAAGACCAACGATTATGTGACAATAATTGGGGGAGTGAGGATTGTGTGTTTACCTGGTAAAGTGGTTTTAATAACTCGAAAACACCGTCTCTGCCCAACAGCAAATCATTGAACCAGAGTCCCGCGATCCATAAAATCAATACCCCATTTGCGCAGTCCGTCCGATAATGATAAACTATAATGATATTAATTATCAAAGTTATAATCACTCCGGGAATCGCATTAATTAAATAAAAAATTATACTTAGAGTTTCAGCGTAACAGCTGCAGTTATCGAGTTACTCATAACGAACCCGATTCGGTAAAACTGATAAGGTTTTTTTCTTTTTTTACTAATTAGTTATTTCTCTCTCCTTTTTTTTGTCTCTATCATACAAGAATATCGATTTCACACCGCCGATGCACGCACGGTCTCTACCGTCGTGCTTGTTTTATCAGCGTTCGTTTCCCCTTATCACGTTCGGCTTTTCACCATAAGCCGAACACACACTTTTGGGTGATTTTCTTTGATTTGTAAAGTCCGTCCTTGTCCTAGCATATTCGCGTGCAGGTGTGTCTTCGCGAATAACAATTAGAGCAACGAATACCACCAAAGAAAATTGATTTTTCCTCTACGTGCCGGCCTTATACTTAACGCACTTGCATTAACGCCTACATGATACATGGTTACCGGAATGCTGAATTCAACATGGATCTTTCGGCCCAAACTAGCTCATTGCCAAGAAGTAAGTGCCTTGTAGTCTATATATATATATATTTTTGTTTGACCTAAATCATTTTCCAGCTAACCTTCGCTCGGTTAGGTTGGCTAGTATATCTTCTGTAAATCCTATTCCAATGTCCCATGAATTTGAACTTATTTATTTATCAAAGGGTGAGGCTCTTTTACAACCAACACACAAGGTAATCTCTGTGTTTAATTGAAATCTGTGACATTATTTTAACCTCTGTTGCATGAGCCGATTTTCTCATTCTATCTCTTTGTCTTCAAGTTCAGTTCAAGTCCAATATTTTGTTTGTACTGTGGGGGTTGATGATATAACATGTTAAGTGTTTGAATTAATATAAGTAATATAACTCTAGTTGGTTAAATTTATAGTAAAACTTTGTCAGGCCAAATATTTAAAATTATTGATTATAATATTATATGCTGATGAAATTCAACTATTGTTATTTACCATATTGTAATGTTTGATTATAGACCCACAATGGTTATCTGAAGCGAGCAACTACAGAACAACTATTGGAGGTATTCAACAAAGTAAGTTTTTGATCAGCCAGTTATCTTATTGGGTATGGTATACTATAATAATATTTTTTTCAGTATGCAACAGTCGAGAAGCAGGGCGAAAAATATATAAACTCTGTAGAATTCATAAAAAATTATATCGGTATATTGAATGAACCCTCAAGTGACTTGGATTCATTGCGCCTGTTGAGCGGAGTGGTCGACACTAATAAAGATGGGTTGGTACATACAGTATTTTTCAAAACTAAAAATAAAATGAATATAACTATATTTTTAGAAGTATTTTTATGAATATTCAGAACAGTTCAAATATTAATTATGGAGGCTTTTTATTTTATATTTTTTATACATCATACCATGAAAATTTTCATTGGACATCTAATAGAACAGAAATATGTTTTCTGTTTATAGAAATTCATTATTTAAATTAATTTTATCAATTGTGTGTAATATACTTATTTCATATTATTATTAATTACTTTTTTATTCTTTTTTTTTTTTAAATAGATATTTTATTAAATAATTACCTTTAATTCTTTTGAAAAAAAGTGAAAAAAAAGTGAAATATTTAAATATGAATATATTTAATAATTGTCTTATGCTATAGCTTTTTAAAATTAATTATTTGATTTAAAATAAAATGTGTATTTAGAATTATTCTTTGTTTTTAAGACTCATATCATTTGCTGAATTTCAAGCATTTGAAAGTCTTTTATCAGAACCTGATGCATTGTATAAAGTTGCATTTCACTTGTTTGATATAAATGGAAATGGAGTGATTTCATATGGTAATAAATTATTGTTGTAAAAATAATTAATTACTTATAATAATGGATTTTTTTTTTTAGATGAATTTGTATTAGTTATTAAAAAAACTGAACTTTATTTGAAAATACCTTTCAATTTGGATAGCCAATTTATGAAATTGTATTTTGGAGAGAAAAAAAATCGTTTAATTAATTATTCAGAATTCGCTCAATTTTTACATGTATTTATTTAGTTAATTTAATTAAATAAGATATAAATATAATTTTGAATTATTAGCAAACATTGATTTTTATTTTTGTTTTAGGATTTCCATGAAGAATGTGGAACAGAAATTTTTCGTATTTTTGATAAATCTGGTACTGGTTTCATATCCGCCAATGATTTTCAAGAAATTATGCTTTTGTCAAAAAGTCATTTGTTAACCAGTGGTGTCCGAGATAATTTATTACCAGTAATTAAATTTATAAATTGCATATATTTTTAACTTTGTGTTACTTAAAAAAGTTTTTAATTTTTAACAGGCTGCAGCTGCGAGTCAAGGAGCACAGCGTGTTAGTTTTCCATATTTTATGGCTTTTATATCACTATTAAATAATATGGAACTAGTGAAACGTATTTATTTAAATGCCAGTAATGAAAACCGAACACTAGAAATTACTAAAGGTCTTTAAATTAAATACTATGAACTCCAAACTCAAAAGTGTACATAAAATTACTATTACTGATTTTCAATCATTTTATTATTTAGATGAATTTTTATATTCTACTCAAGTTATGTCTCAAATTACACCTTTAGAAGTGGATATATTGTTTACCCTATGTCATCTATTACATCAAAGAGCTGGGTAAATGTTCTTTCATTTTATAAGTATATGTATTATAATTCTATAATTATTTTTTAAATTTTTTTAGCAAAATTGTTTATAATGATTTGCAATCAATTACACCAGAACAGTACTATAAAGAAATACATAATCGTAGAATAGCTGAAATCCATGCAGTATCTGTAAATAAATTGATGAAGTTATTAATTGTTTTTTATTAGTGTTCTTAATTACTTAATTATTTCAGAGCCCATCAGATCGAGGAGTTTTTATTCAAGTATTAGAGAGTGTGTACCGATTCACTTTGGGCTCATTATCTGGAGGTAATGTTATTTTGTTTGATTTCGATAACAAGATTGTGGCATGGGTGGTATAGTAGAAATATAATGATGTATCCAATTGAGATATGGGCACACAAACATATATGTGTGAGTAATACCGGATGCCCCGCAGCGTTCTAAATCCTTTCGTTCATAATCGTATCTTATTTCTTTGTATACTTGATGAGCTATCCCGTATAATTCCTCTAAAATAAATTATCTTAATTATCTTGAAACATAATTTATGTTTTATGTACCTTGACAAATAAGTGGACCACCAGAGTCACCGTCACACAATCCTTTTCCGTGGTCTTGCTGTAGACATATTATTTTTGTTCTTTCCCATTCTGTAAGACCTGGACATGCTTTAGCTGAAGACGAAGAAAATACTTTGAGTTTGTGTAAGATTGTATTATGCCGACCAGATGGTGTGTTAATTTCTCCCCAACCAACAGCTGTACACTCCAAATAATCATTCATTGGAAATCCTTTATTAGATAAATTAATAATATTTACAGCAACTGTCATAATAAATGGTCTAACTCGAATAAGAGCTAAGTCGTCGTTAGCAACTCGTTTTACCTTAATGAAAAGTAAAAATATTTATTATTTTTTATTTACGTAAGTAATTTTACTGACTCTGTAATTAGGGTGTATATAAACTTCAGTCCCTTGTCTGATTTGGGTATAATCATCCTTTTGTGCATAATTTATCATACCAGCTATCACCTTTACATCACTAGCTCTGAAACTGAGTACTTGGCTTATGGAAAAACAGTGAGCTGCTGTTAAAATCCATTCTTCTGATATTATAGATCCTGAACATGACATAGTCTTATGAAGTATTACTGTCATAAAAGGAAATTCAAAACTCTCAGCTATTTCTCCGCCAGCCAAACAAACTGGTCGATTTCGTTGGCATATTACTACAGAAACTATTGATAATATTTGACCTAAAAATAAACTATCAAAACTCATCTTGTTCTATGCAAACAAAATAACTAGTATATAGTATCAAGTTTAGTATATATGAATATACTTGCATATTATCAAATATTTAGTAGTTGTCTATAAAAAAACCATAACAACACTATACTATTTTAAAAATCTACATTTATGAGTGTTTATATTTGTATTAAAGCTATTGGTGCAACAACAGTATATCCAATTGATTTGGTTAAAACAAGAATGCAAAATCAAAGATCCGGTTCTTTTATTGGTGAACTTATGTACAGAAACAGTTTTGACTGCTTTAAAAAAGTTAGTTGTATTTTATAGAATGTTGATAGAAAATGCTTTTATAAGTAATACAAAGCAATTTTAAAATTTTACTTAGAAAAATTGATTATTTTATTTTATATTAGGTAATAAGACATGAAGGAATATTTGGACTTTATCGAGGTCTCTTGCCTCAGCTCATTGGTGTTGCTCCAGAAAAAGCAGCTAAGCTCACTGTTAATGATTTAGTTCGTGATAAATTACGTCAAGAAAATGGAGATTTGACTCTTTCTGCAGAAATTATCGCTGGATCCTGTGTATGTATAATTTAAATTATATTATATTAACATATTTAGTTTTCAATGTTGATTATAGGCTGGATTTTCACAAGTAATATTTACTAATCCATTGGAAATAGTAAAAATTCGTTTGCAAGTTGCCGGTGAAATAGCATCTACACAAAAATTAAGTGCTATTACTGTTATTAAAGAACTAGGTTTCTTTGGATTGTATAAGGTATTCAATTTTAGACTAAACTTAAGTTGTTGGGATATCAAATTTGTATTGTAATACATTTTATTTTAAAATATAGGGAGCTAAAGCATGTTTCTTAAGAGATATACCATTCAGTGCTATTTACTTTCCGGCATATAATCATGTTAAAAAAGCTTTTGCTGATGAAAAAGGTTATAATCATCCATTATCATTGTTAGCAGCTGGTTGTATTGCTGGTATTCCAGCTGCTTCTTTAGTGACTCCAGCAGACGTGATAAAAACTAGATTACAGGTTGTAGCTCGACAGGGGCAAACTACTTATAATGGGTTGATAGATTGCGCTACAAAAATTTACTCTGAAGAGGGACCCAGGGCACTTTGGAAAGGCGCAGGCGGTAAGCATAAATATTTTATATTATTAAATATCTAAAAAGAACTTATAGTTCATTCAAATTTGCATTAGCTCGTGTGTTTCGTTCTTCGCCACAATTTGGAGTGACACTTTTGTCTTATGAAATTTTACAAAGATTGTTCTATGTAGATTTTGGAGGCTCGTAAGTATATAAAATGTTGCGAAAATTTTTAATTAAACGTTTATATTAATTTTTTTTATAATTATTTTTTAGCCGTCCATCGGGTTCAGAAAAATTAGTTTCTGTTCTTGGCGCAGGTGATGGAAAAACTCCATCAAACCCGGATCATATTGGAGGGTATCATGCAGTTATTCCAATATTAGAAGGAATAGAGTCTAAATTTGGTCTTGTTTTTCCAAAAACTAAATCTGAAAAATAATCATATCATACCTAACCTGGCCTTTACACTTACATTCTGGAATTTTAATGATTGTTATTTTGTGATATTAATATTTTTATCTTCATACAGTTAATTTTATTTATTTGATTCATTGATTCAATTTAATTAATATATGAAAACACATTTACACGCAAATGCAAATTAAGTAAGTTATTTTTGTTTCCATCTTTAAATTATCCTATTTACATTTTTTTTATGTTGTATGTACTTACAATAATGTTTTTGTTGTCTGCCAATAAAATTATTTTTTTAAATTAACTAAATTTATTTTTTTAGACTTACTTCATAGCAAAATAAGTAAATTTTAGGTATAATATAAAAACACATATATATACAGTATACACAATGAGTCTTAGTTGATTGTAAATTATACTGCCTTAAATAAAAATACAGTGGAACCTCGTTATCTCGAACTCCAATATCTTTAATTTTCTATATATCGATCATTCAGTATTAAACTCACGTTAGGTTATTTTTGAATATTGAATTTCTCTATATGTCAAATTTTTATTTTGGTCCCTTGAGACTTCGAGATACGGAGGTTTCACTGTATTAAGTAATAAACTTTATTGTACATCATTCAATTTCGAATTGCTTACATTATACTAGAATATTATACTCATAAGTTGTGATTTAACTTATTGAATATGCGAAAAGAATAACCTTGGTAAGATTTTGGGTTCAAATAATAATTTTTGTGTTAGTTGTACTATTTTTATAAGTTTAAGTCTATGTAATATGTTTATAAAGGTAATGGACCGTTAGTGCCACTCTAACTTATCGGTTATGTACATCACATAGTATCTGCTTTTCTTTGTACAATTCTCTCTTATCGTTAATTGTTGTTAGTCAACTGCATCATTTATTCCTTCAGGTCGGTCTGAAATTTTACAAACGTGGTGATTGAATTCCTCACTTGCTCATCATTCTGCTTTTCTGAAGTTTCATCTTCCAGTAACTTGCGTGTTCATGACCATCGAAGATTACTATGACCTTTAATACCTGTACCCTTTGGCCGGCGCGCAATAGAAATTTATAAGTGTATCGCCATCAAGTGTACTGGTCCAATAACCGAAATTCGGCTATACCCTGTTAATCCCGGTTAACTGTAGATAACCAATATGTCCTTACCAGCTATTGTTAATTATTTACCTGATCTTTCCACCATTAACGGGTTCAACTTGTACGAGGTAATCACTAAATCTCTACTAAGTAAGTGTCATTAGTTACAAGTGATTTTCAATAAAAAAGTCTCTAGCTTAAACCACGCGTACGGATATTAGGAAATTATGCATTAAACAATGAAATATATAACATTTTAAGATAATTTCAATCTAAAAAATTTTTTTCGTTGTTTGGTTGAAAATAATGATTTTTTCATGTAAATTAGTATTCTGTAAATTTTTAATGCCTGCGCTTATCTAGACGTCTGAATCGATGGGTTGAATAACTTTTTGATTCATATGTAAAGAAGTCAACTAAAACACGTTGAACAATGGAGGCTGTGGATACACGTAACATAAATCCAAACGGATATTCTTGAGTATATTCTGTGTTCGAAACTGCGTAGAGTTTAATACGATACGAGTGAAATATGCATGGATTAAGCTTTTTTCTAAATATGATACGTAGTTTGACCACAAAGGTAACAGGGACGGCGCTCTGTTCAGGCAATGTAGGTACATCGATGTCGAAATGTGCCATTGCTTCACGATAAGAATACGATATTACTAATTCAATATTATTAATACAATATTCAGATAGGATGTTATTACAATCAATGGGCAAATGTAAACTGGATTCCGCGATTACCTTTTTTGTTGTAAATTCGGCCCCGAAAATTTTAGGTAATAAAGTAGGTAGATTGTAAACTCGGCCCGGAAATGTCAAGTAATATAAAAGGTTGGTTGTAATCTCGGCCCTATAATATTTACAGGTGAAATAAAATAGCGATGTATAAACCGCAAATGTATAGCTTCTTTAAAAACGTTTGGAATAAATAATAATATTACGGAGAAAAATAATGATCATTTGCATGAACCTATCAGTGATCAAGTACTTCAACGACAATGTGTTACCCCAGTGATCAAACGCAAAAGAATAGAGGGTATCTGCAGTAGGCCAAACAAATTTTTTTGTAGTGCAGCAAACAATATACCTGACGCGCAAGATCTACAAGTAAGTGATATTCAGTATGTTAAAAGTAATATATACAATGCCTCCTCGTGGTGTCCTCTGGGTAATGCTAAATAGTTCTCAAAAATATAAGAAAATTATACAAATGTACTTTTTTATCCGGGCAGAGATTACACCTAAATTATTTTTACCTGCAAAAACCTCAGGCTGAGTTTACACTTAAATTATTTTTACCTGATAAAAACATGGGCCGAGCTTACAATTGCCCCAATCAATAACATACACAATATTTTTAATTTTTTTTTTAATTTTCGATTTTTTTCAAATTTATCACTTTTCGTTTTCATCCCTTTTTAACCTGTTAGAGTTTGAATTTTAGAAAATCCATTTTTATTGCATATCCAGGTGTTAGTGGAACCATTATGTCAAACTGTAAGCTTATACACTCTGTCGTTTTTGAGATGACCAGTAAGTGATTATTGTTTGGCTTATATATATACAGTATGTCCCATAAGTCCCGTATCACCCTTAATATTACCACAGGAAATCAATATAATTATACGTGGTTTTTTTTGCAATACTTAGTATGGAAATTCTGATTGAATGGCATAAAATTTAATTTTTTTTTAAAAAAAAATTCAAAAATTAAAAAAAAAAATTTTTATGCATTTAAAAATTTTCAATTTTTAAGATAGCCATTTTCTTGAGCATATTTTTTAAAACAGTTAAAAAAAATATATTAAAATTGAATACAAATTGACCAAGTTAGAGCAAGTTATTTTTTTGAATAATTATAACAAAAAAATGAATTGTTTCATATTTCAATAATCCAGTGCTTGGCCACCTAGGTCGCCTGACTTAACACCAATGGATTTTTTTTATGGGGTAATTTGAAAAATCTTGTGTATCCGTCGTATTCATTGCTTGATCTCCGTGACAAAATCGAACAAAATATTTAAAATATTTTACCTGAGACATTAGAAAATGTTAAAAACGCTTGGGTCCAAAAACTTCAGCTCTGTGTTACAAATAATGGAGGTCACTTCGAACATTTATAAAAAAAATGTAATGCATTATTTTCGTTTTTATGTAATGAAATCTTTTTTTTCTATTAAAAATCAAGTTTAAAAATGTTATATGAATTTAATTTTTAATTTTTCCTAAATGCTCAACCAATAATTAAATATTTACAGATTTTCATAAATAATCAGCGTTCTAATCGAGAATGATTAAATCGAGCAATTCATGTTTTGCTTGGTTAACAACTATTATTATAATTACCTATTAAAAACATAACTTGCTCTAACTTGGTCAATTTTATTCAATTTTAATAAATTTTTTTTTTTAACTGTTTTAAAAAATATGCTCAAGAAAATGGCTATCTTAAAAATTGAAGATTCTTAAATGCATAACATTTTATTTTTTAATCTTTGAATTTTTTTTAAAAAAAAATTGAATTTTATGCCATTCGATCAGAATTTTCATAGTAAGTATTGTAAAAAAAAAAAACCACGATTAAATATACTGATTTCCCGTGGAGATATTAAGGGTGCTACAGGACTTATGGGACATACTCTATATATAAATATATATATACTAAACTATACTCTAAATATATATGTGTGTGTGTGTGTGTGTGTGTGTGTGTGTGTGTGTGTGTGTGTGTGTATGTGTTTAATATTTTGAAATATATTTATTTATTTTGTTTGGTATGAGTATTAGCAAAATTGAAGTATATAGTGAACTAGCATTGACCAAAATATATATTTAATATTAATTTGTTGCTAATTAATTTAGGAGGATTTTATTTTAGGTAGGTAAACCATTAATATCATAGCAGTACTGTAAATATTTTGTTGAATAATTTCAATTGTTGATACTAGTTGTGGGACAATTATATTATTACGGAGTTTCAATAAAAACAATTAAGAAAGACAGAGGCGTGCAATTCAGGTTCAATATTTTTACTACCACATATTTCAAATGTATTTATTTCACAAGATGATAATTTTGATGATTTATTTTATAGTAGGTACTGAATAGATTGACAGTGAATCATCAAAATAATCCTTGTATATGTTTATGATATTAAATTTAAATTGTATTAGGCAGTATTTTTTTTCTAAATTCGTTCAAAATTCGTAGGAGAGAAGATTTGTACACCCTCCTTAGTATGCCCCTGATGAAAAGAACTGCAAAAAATTATTTATGTAGCAATAAAGTTACTTTACAGTTATTCAGATTATTATCAGTAATTGGATCATCTTCTATATGACTTATTAATTAATCCACCGGATTAATAATATTTGTACTTATAATTATGAAGCAATTTCAAATGATTCCATAGATTTGTTGTATTTGAATTGGAGTTGGAAAAATATTTAAGACATATTTGACATTAAGCTCTTCAGCCCCACTCAACGTTCATAAATGTTTTGTACTAAACTATTTTTTATTTATTATAATTAAATTTAATGACAAATCTTTGACTAATTACTAACACAAAGTTTAATATTTAATCAAGGGTTACGATGTTATGAATATGAGTCAGTAGCATGTGCCAAATATTAACCTTTTATAACTATGGTGTATATTTACTGTTTCATAGATGAGGATGTGTAATTACGATCGCGACCGCAATTAAGTGTAGAGATAAATTTAAATCATTCATTATAAATACTAAAATACATTGTTTCGTCATAGTTAAATAATTAATAATAAAATGTGAAAAATATAAAAGGAACTCGTGCATGTGGAGTGTGGTACAATACATAGTATGACTTAAAGAGGTAAAAATCAAAGTATGGTTTAAGTAATATAGTCTGTCAACGAAAACGATTTATTTTGGACGGTAATAGACCTACTCTCTTACCCATAATTGATACATCGATTAATATTCGATTAATCGAACAATCGATTAAATTGAATAATTGGATAGGGTCAATTGATCAATGGTAAATATTTAAAAAGGAACTAATCGATTAACTATTGTAAAAACCTATTAACTCAAACAGTGCTAATTATATTTTTCGTTGT